TGGCTCTTTGATCAGTGGAGGTTCCCCCACACCCGTAAGGGTCAGTACCTGGCCAAATCCTTGAGGGGTTCCTTCCGCAGATCTTTGGATCTCTCTCTTGGGTGCAGCTCTGTCATCTCTGGCTTTTTGTCTCACGAATTCTAGTTTCCTTGATCTCTCCAAAGAGTCAGTCTTAATATACCTCATTTGTTTTTCTTCTCTCAGAGATCACAGTTTCGTGCTGTCTGATGTCTAATAGCTTGTAACAGTTTTTTTTAAATATAAATTTGTCCAATTTTCTAATTGTTTATGGTTAAAGGACAGCTCTCATGCATTTAATCTTTTATGAATGAAAGCGAAAGTCAAGTACCATAATTGAACATCACACATAAACAACAGAAGAACGAGATGTGTGAGGTTACAACAGCTATCCAGAACCATGCCTATGTTCTAAAGCTCCCAGAAAATTAATTTCACTTAAAATTAAAAACAGAAAAAGGACCAAATTCAAATCTTATACAAAATTATTGTTAAGAAGAAACACAATGAGCTAGATAACATCCTTACAGAAAATGAATTCATGCCAGAAAGATGCCCACAAATGAAATGAAAACTATAACCTTCTACTTCAAAATGAGCTAAAAGACATTAAGAAAATGATGCTGGAGATGAAAGAACAAATGAGAAGGAGAAATAGGAAAGCTATGAAATGAGATGATAGGATCGAAGAATGAACTGCGTATTCAAGAAAAAGATCAATTTAGGAGTGAAGAATAAACTAGAAGGAATACTAAAGTGAATAAACATAGCACGTATACTTGAAGAGAACTAGAATTAAAAAGAGAGATGTGCAAAAAAAAAAGAAAAAATAATGGTTAACATAGCAGACCTGATGAGACAGCCATCCTTAGAAAGATCTACCTGCAAGCTTGACCCTTAACTGGCATCTGGGAAAGTTTCCAGCATTTTCTGATAAGAATGGCTCACTCTCCCCAAACTTTGCAGAGATCATGGTTTATGCTAACTACTTGCTTGTTTCTGGGAGCTGGAATTTTTGTACATGTAAGGGAGAAGCCTGTGTGACCAGCGTCCAGTATAAACCCTAGGTGCTGAGTCTCTAATGTGCTTCTCTGGTAGACATTTCATACATGTAATCACAACTCATAGCTGGGGAAATTGAGCACACCCTGTGTGACTCCCATCAGGAGAGGACTCTTGGAAGCTTGCCCTTTGTTTCCTCCAGACTTTGACTTCTATATCTTTTCCCTTTTCTGGTTTTGCTTTGTATCCTTTCGCTGTTATAAATCATAGCCGTGAGTACAGCTATGTTCGGAGTCCTGTGTACCCTCCTGGAGAATCACTGGGGACTCATTATATACCTTCCTTATTATTTTCCTTTCTAATATGCTTCTTGGTAGCTTTTAGGAATGTAAAGGAGGTCATTTTGTTTAGTTACAAATCAATTAGAAGTGAATCTACAATAAAACAAGTTTTGTAATATATAATTTGTAATTCATAAGTTAAATTAACCCTGAAAAGTTTCAAGAAATGGTGAATGTCTGAATTCTGAAAACGTTACATAGAGAACTATTTTCTACTAGAGATTTCATATGAAACATTGTAGTTTGGTGGGGTTTTTTTGTTTCAGTTTTCAAATTATATTTAAATAGGGTCTTTGTAAGGGGTTGGTCTTTCAGGTAAGATCTGCACCTTTAACTGCCTCTATCTAAATAAGAAAGATTGGTCTTCATTTTTTAAAAAAACTAGGAATGATATAGAATCTTAAATTTCGCTGGCAGGTTTTCAGCAATGACATTTTCCTCCCATTATAAAACTTGAGGGGGACAAAAAAGCGTGCTTTGTACTTCTTTTGTCTGAAATATTAATGAAGTATTTTCCCATGTTACTTGTAGGATTTTTATCCAGGTTCACACAGCATGAATTCTAGCCAGGCATTGTTTATGAGGTTCATTTCAAAGCATATAAAATTTGGCTTTTTCCAGAAGGATAAATAATTTAGAATTGCTTGAGTATTTCAGATCAGTGATCATATACAGTTGAATTCCTGAGGATGCTGGCAGATACAACCCTGAGTTCAAAAAACCATATAATTCCTAATGGAAATAGGCACTGACAGAAGGAAATTTCTTTCGTATTTGGGAAGAAGAGTCCCAACTCCAGAATACATTATCAGCCAAGCATAGGGGAAACCCAAAAGCATATTTAGTTCTTGGGGCACCTGGGTGACTCAGTCAGTTAAGCATCTGCCTTCGGCTCAGCCATGGTCCCAGCGTCCTGGGATCGAGCCCCAAGTTGGGCTCCCTGCTCAGCGGGGAGACTGCTTCTCCCTCTCCTTTTGCTGCTCGCCACTGCTTGTGCTCTCTTGCTTTCTCTCTCTGTCAAATTAATAAGTAAAATCTTTTAAAAAAAAGCATATTTAGTTCTTATGTTGCTTGATAATTATTGTTCTATAGGAATCATTCTAATTTAATATTGCCCAGTGGTTAATCTCTTTTATTAAAATCAATGCAGATGTCAGTTTTAAATAAACTCTTTGCTTCTCATGGTGTCTACTTTGAGATCTAGGGGACTTGTTGAATAAGGGAAAAACCTAAAACAAAATAAAAAACTATATGCACAACTTATTAATACTGCTAATTAATAAAGGAACCTGTACTTTTTTCTCTAAAGGTCTAGTTTTGTGAGCTAACTTAAGACAGTTTGATTGTTCTGTTTATTGGGTCCTTTTTGGTATTGTAGATATCCAGTAAAAATATAGGCGAGGGCTCTAAGACTCCTCCCCCAGTGCTCTCTATACTAGGTTGTGTGTTAGTCCAAACCAAATTCTGCCACACATATACTTCTTAGCAAGCAGACACAAAAGCAGTCCTGTTAACTTTTCTGTAAGCTCCATGAAATTCTGATTTTTATTTATTTTTTTAGTGTTCTGATAGTGCCTTGCTTCAGAGGTTCATTTGAGGCATAGTAGGAGCACTTTTAGTTAGAGTTAGGGGACAAAACTCTCAACTAATTGGTGGAGCAAAGATGCTTTCAGAAACCTAAATCTAAGACCCCATTCTTCAGCGTATGGACTGTTGTGTTTACTAGTTCTTGTGAGGGTAAAGCCAATTGAACAGTATTTCTGTATAGTCCACAGATCTTAAATGGCATTTATTTATGTTACAGCTCTGCTCTTCATGGGAGATGAAGACAGCTAACAGGTGTTTTTAGAACAGGCTGTGGGATTATGGGTTCTTGATTAGTCTTTCTCTCAGACCAGATGAGCATCCCTGTAGAGTCTGTGTTTGATTAACATACTCATGTGTTAATCACTGCTAGGGTGTAGGGTGACAACCTAACTGTCAGGAACAGGGGAAGACTTCTACCTCAACACTTAGGAACTGGCTGGATGTCAGCTCAAGTCCAGGCTATCAACTCTTTCAGTTTGGATCTTTGACCATAAAAGTGTGTGAACACCTGTCAGCTACACTGTCTAATTGTTTCTTCCTGAAGGTAACGTTTTACATTTTATTCTTGTCCCTGGGTGTTTTATGGACATCTCTGGGTTTTAGGACTCAAAGGAAACCAACCCACCCACCCGAGCTGGCTTCCCCATAGGAAGATGGCAGACATTTGTTGAGTGTCTGTGTTCTGCTAGACTCAGCAGGTGGCTGCAAAATGTATGACATAAATAACTCTTGCCTTCAAGGAACTTTGATCTATTAATGAGGATAACAGAACATGAAATTGCTGTAATACAAAGCCAATTAAGTTAACTGCTATAAGAAGGAGTGAAAGAGCTATACACACCTGCTGTCAATCAGTGTTGGAGTTGCTCCTCTCTAAAAATCATTAACAAGTTATCATGGAAGCTACATCAAACCTGTCAGAGAAATCATGCTGCTAAAGGACAGTTCTTACTAGGCAATATTCCTAACATGCAGGAAGGTTATTTTTTTTTTCAGGGCTTTGGAGCGTTAGTTGGGGGAGTCATCTGGAAGTGAAGGCATCTCTCAGTGAGCACTGGCTCTGATTTTAGGCTCTAGACTCCTGGATGAAGCCTTGTTTCCATAACTGGCTTGGAAACCTGGATTATATTTAGATCTTACCACAGCCACGTGAGAAGTATAGTAGTTTATAATGCAGACATTCATGCTTTTCCTCCAGATAGTTTAGTGACTTGCCATTATTTTTCTTGCCTTTAAAAATAAGCTATAAAATCTGTAAGTGCTGTTGATGGAAACATAAAGGAAAATGAATTACTGTATTATGCATTGATTAATATACTATTTAACACGAAAGATTGCTAAGAACAGAATTGGAATTGTGTATACACTTATTAATCATCACAACTCAGTACTCAAGTCTGAAATTTATTGATCTTTAATCTCATTTGGGATAGTTTTAGGGACAGAGAGAGACTGAATTCTTCGAGCTTAAGGAAATAGTTTTTGCTACTTTTTAAGTTTTATACTCCACTAAAATGTTAGCTCCATTAATGTGTGTTGTTAATTATAGAGTAAATACCATTTGTTGTACATATCAGAATGTTGATTAAAAGCTGTTAAAGGGTTTATCAAGATGATCTCATGCTAAAGAATAAGGAGGACATTTTAAAATATCTTGACATATTTTTCTACCTAATTGCATAGCCTTTCCTGAAGATACCACCACATGCTCTGCTGATGATAAAAGACTATGTTTGGTTCTATTCCTGGAAATGTAAAAAAGAGATGTTGGTACCATTTACCTCCTTGTGCTTGTTTATGGTGTGAGACAACTATCTTTTTGCATCAGTCTGTTTAATGGCATCAGCATCAGTGGAAAACAGTATCCCAGTGAATACTTGTTTTGCTCCCTTTGGTTTGATTTTCTATCAAAGAACTCATTTTTGTCATAACAGTATTGGAATATTTAGTTTTAGTTTTTAAAATTTCTTTATGTACTTACATCATGGCTAAATTAGTTTTTAAAATTTTTTTATGCACTTATATCATGGCTCATATTTCATTCTTTAACAGGAATTTCAGACAGTTGTCTGGTGAAATGGAATTTATGACAATTAATGGAACAACATTAAGGAATCTTGAAATCCTACAGAATCAGGTCAGGTAAACATAAAGCCTAATTGATTCAAAATGAGTGTGAAAAAAAATTTGAAATAAGGTGGCAGTCTGTTCTTAAGAGTGAAGGTGAGAACAAGAATATTGTCTTTAACTTATCACTCTGCCCATCATCTATCTATTAATTGATAACTGCAGGACCCATTTTTTTGAGAATCAAATATATGAAATGCTTCCCTGGAGGTTACTTTGGGAGCTATAGAGCTGTCCTTCTTAATTATTGAAGTGACATTCCCATCCTGATAATCTCTGTATCAAATATTTGTTTGGAAAGGCATCATCTTTGAAAATTAATATAAAGTGGATTTTTTGTCTGTTTGATTATATTTTTTCTACATACCTTTAAGTTTTCACTGAAATGTCTTCAGTCTTATTATCCAGTATAAAACAAGTTACTGTGATATTCGATTAGATTATAAGATGCATGAATTTCATTTCACAAACTTCCGTCATTATTTGCCCTTTTTTGATGAATTAGGAAGATAATGGAGACATTAAATTGATTGCTTTCATTTATTAAACTATCATTTAGAAATAAGATCTTATATAATGTTCATAACATAAAGCCATAGAAATAAAAAGCAATTCCAGATCATTTGAGTACGTAGTTGAAAAGCTGGACCGTCTGAGTTAAAATGGTTTAAAGCTCTTCAGAAATATTTATTACTGTTGTAAATTAAAGTAAATGCTGAATTTCTTCTCCTGACTCCTAGATTTGTATATTACTAACTAGTTTCTCTCATTTAGTTTCTCCCTCTTCCAGGCTATCCTTGTATGCCAGAGTCAACCTTACTTTAACTTCGTAACATTTTGATCTTGTCATTACATTATCCGGAGATTGAGAATTTTTCCCACACATCTTTCTCACCAACTCTGTATACATTGCCCAATAGGAAATGAGTCGTAGGAAGAAAAGAACATTTTTTGAATAAAGAAGAGCTCATAGTCAGACTCTAGAGACACAGCTCTGGCCTTCCTAGCTTTCTTTATTCTGCCACTTCTTCCCTGTTCAAATCCTACTGCTGTGGAGTCAGTTCTGAAAATAAATTCCTAAGGCAGAAATACCCTTCAAAGTTCTTTCATTATCAGGACTCGGGCCATTATAGAAACAGAAGCTAAGAATTCACAGCTTTGGCTTGTCTTTGCACTTGAACTTTGGCCTCTGTTACCATGGATCAATGGAAAGGGGTAATGAGGAGGGGGCTGGGTATCAGGGAGAGCAATTGAATAACTGTTTCTCTCCCACCCTTCCCTCTCTTGTCTGAGCCTGGTTCTTCAGCGATGCAGGAAATAATTGGAAAATTATTCCCACCCACTTTCCTCTTCCTGGGACCCTTTACTGTACTCAGACGAGTGGGGCTTGTGTTTTGGAAGAAATGGTGCTGGTTTTGATGTGGACTGCCCTCGTCACTCAGCTCATCCTTGGGAGTCTTCTGTGACCTGTAGCTTCTGTGTGCGCTCTGCCTTAAACTCCGAAGGCCTGGCAGCTTTTGTCATGGCTCTAATAGTTAATTTCTGCCAAGTGGCATCATGTGTTGATTACGAGTCATTTCTTTCTTTCTTTTTTTTTTTTTTAAATATACAGCAGGAACATTTATTTTAACACTTCTAAAAGATATTTTTCCATGCCTGATGATTTGATATAAAAATCAAATCCATCATACTTTTCCCACCAGTCTTTCCACATCAAGGGCAATCAGAAATTTGTACAACATGAATATTTGCTTCTGAAACAAAAATTACAAATTAAGTGGTAACAAAAGTACACAAATCAATTTCTCCCATACTTGATCTTATATAAGATATGGGCCTCAAGGAGGGACCATATCTTAATACACCTTTGCCAGTCATACAACTGAGTACATAGGAGTATTCTGGAAGTACTTGCTTAATGACTTGAAGGAAAAGAAAAAAAGTTTAAAAAAAAACTTAGGTGAAAGCAATTTTATATTCCAAATAAGATTTAAACCTATTGACTTTTTGTAATACAATGAAACCTTGGTTAAAATTAACTATCATCTCTAGTTAATTTTTTTTTTTGGTCGTTCAGCTTCGAAGTAGCAAAGCACAGGTCGATAATTTTTTACTGAGGATTTAATAAAGCAGACTAAAATAAAATCTTTCCAGGGTGAATTCCTAGAGTGCGGTTTAACTTCAGTTCCATCTCCAGTACCTTCTGCTTGTTCAGTGTTTTCATGGGAGCAGCAGTCCTTAGAACTCCGAGGCCGTGGAGGATACTGAATTGCCAAAGGAAATTAAATTATCTTCACTGTACTTCCCAAGGCAGAAATGTATTTTTAAGATGTGTAGGACAAACATATATTTTAAAAGATTTCTAAATATTCTTAGTTAACCAAAACCACACACAGACTGTCCTTTTTCGGTGCAAATATCAGTACTTTATATTGTGTATGTGTGTTCATATGTATGTGCAGTCGTCACACATTAAATGAACGCCTGTTATGAGCCATACTTTATGATAGGCATCTCTACCATTTAAAATTATGGTATATGGAATAATTAAGGCACATGAGCAACTAGTAGTTTTGGTACAAATACAACGTCCACTTAATAAAACTTTTCTTCTGGTTTTTCTTAGACTGACATGAAAACCAAAGGAAGTTTACTTTGGGTCTTAGACCATACTAAAACCTCATTTGGGAGACGAAAATTGAAGAAGTGGGTGACCCAGCCACTCCTTAAACTAAGGTAAAGGGAATTCTTTTTTGTGTGTTTAATCTGAAATTATATAAAGTTGTGAAATTAAATGTGTTAGCCTCCTTAAAACCAAGATTACCATAGTTATAAGAACAGTATTTTAGGGGCACCTGGCTGGCTGAGTCAGAGGAGCAGCGATTCTTGTTCTTGGGGTCATGAGTTCTAGCTCCATGTTGGGTGTCGATTACTAAAAATAAATGAACTTTAAAAAAAAGAGCAGAATTTTAAATTGGAGAAGATTTTATTTTGTATCTGGCAATACACTGTCTAGTGTTGTGAGGATGTTTTCCTTGTCCCCAAGAATGAGTCGGCTTGCAGATTGGAAGACATGGGGTGTGTCCAGGGAAAGTGAGTTATCCATTTAGTTTGGGTCATCCGCAGCATAAGAGAGTAGGGAGGAGGGGGTTGAAGAGCTGGGGCACTGCCTTTCGTAGAGGGCTTTGAAGGCTAGCCTGAGTTGGTAGCCAGGGAAAGTTAATCCAATGATTCTGAGCATGGGAGCGCTAGGATCAGAGCTGGGCTTGTATGTGGGAGGGGACAAAGTGGTGGTGGCGTGGGCAAGTTAGCAGGTTCATGGCAAGGTTCTGAGGGACCCGAGCTAAAGCCGGAACAGTAGGGATCTGAAAGAAGGGTCAGGTGTGAGATGTTTGGGAAAATAGATGAGTAAACCAGGAGCGCCTTCAGGGAAGGTAGCTGAATCTAGTGCCTAAAACGCAGCTGTTTCCAAGCTTGTCCGCCCCTTGCAGTCCTTGGGAGGCTTCGCAGATACTGATGCCTATGGCTAAACCCCCAGAGAGTGTGATTTAATCGGTCTCCAGTGTGGCCTGGGAGTTGGAGTTTTTGAATGCTCCCCAGATGATTCTGATATGCAGATAAATTTGGAGACTCTGACCTGTCACTTAGTAGGAGCCCCGTTAATGTTTACCGAATGAATGAAGGCTGTTGTTTATTGCATTTTTACTATGTACCACTCTTTAATACTCAAAAGCATCCTCTGAGGTAGGTTCTTGAGATGAGTAAACGGATTCAGAGCTTCAATAACTTGCTCAATGTTTCATAGCTGATAGAGCCCAGATTTAAAAACAGCATTGACTCCAGAGCTGAGCAGGCACTTAACCATTCTGAACCGTTTCCTAAAGAGACCAGAGAGTGTGGTGTCAGATGTGTTAGAGGTGTTAGAACGGCTGTGCGTCAGCTCTGTCAACTGAGTGAGTCAGTCCACTAAGTCCTTGGGTCCCGTGTCCTGTCCCGTGTGTCTGCCACCCCATGCCATGTTCTCACCTTTGAATTGGTAAACTGCCTCCTCACAGGGTTGCCCTAAGGAATAAGATGAGACAGGAATCCTAACTACCACTTTTGAGCTCTTTATTACATGGCAAGCCCCGTACTGGGGGCCTTACGTACATTGTAGCTTTTAAACTACATAAGAGCCTCACTCTTGGCTGTGTATTATGCTGAGTTTAGTAAATAGTCATCTTCAGCAAAGGATAGCACAGTGCTGTGAGTGCGAGTAATAAGCTTAAGACACTGTTATGAAGATGATCATTACCAAATCACTTCAAGATTTACCAGGTCACTCCAGTTTTTCTTCTTGACCATAAAGACCTTTGGACAGGGGAAACTGACAAGAAGACATTCTGGAAATGGAAGTACAGTTGATGCTTGAACTACTCGGGTTTGAACTGTGCAGGTCCACTTACGTGCACATTTTTTCTGATACAGTACAGCACTGTAAATGTATTTCCTTATGATTTTCTTAACCCCTTCTCTTTCCTATAGTTTACTTTGTTATGATAATACAGTATATGATACATAGATAAAATATGTGTTAATTTAGGCTTCTGATCAGCAGTAGGCTATTAGTAATTAAGTTTTGGGGGAGTTAAAAGATATACTCAGATTTTTGACTGTAGTGGGGGAACAGTGCCCCTAATCCCCACATTGTTCAGTGGTCAACTGTGTCTCCTTGGTTCAGGACTGAAATGAGGTAAGAATGCCTTGGGGAGCAAAAGCAGACAAGACGGCTTTCTGCAGAAAGTGTGGAAAGACATCTACCTAAGCATCCATAGCACTTCTTATATTCTTACTTGCTTGGTTGAAATTTTCAGCAGAAACAGTCAGTAGCAGACTTTTTCATGTAAATTAAAATTTTTATTTCTACTCTTAAAAATTTGTTTTCTATAACTAGGATTAATTTGAGATAAATTCAGTAGACCACCATATTGTATGCTCTGTAGGAGCTGAATCATGTATCTCTTGGGATTGTACTTTCCCAGGAAGGCTGAAAGAAAATATGCCATGTGTTGAACAGTGATGCTTTCCAATGAACTCTAGACGGGCCCAACACCTATATGGCTGAAAACAAACACACAAAACTTTTTCCTTTGCGCCTTTAATTTTAGATCATCATTTCAAAACTTTTATCTTTCTAATTTACTAAAATTCATTTCAGAAAGAATTTGTTAAATCTTAATGGCACTTGCACCCTATTCCAAATAGCTAAAGAAAATCGTCAGCTGAGTAGTCATTGGTTCAGGCGTATATTTATTATTGTTGTTTGTGCTAACATGGGGGTCATGCAAATCACAGATTACATCAGTGTGGTTATCCAGGCTAATATTCTCTTTCCACTGTTGGCAGCCAAAAGTTCGTTTAGAGTCTGGTTTTCTTCTATAGGGAGTCATAGAACAAAAAAGTTGGTTACAAGGGTATTAAGCAAGATATGGTAGGTTTCCCAGAGTTCTCCAAAAGCCTATTATTTGTCAGTTATCCATGAATTTTCTTAAATCCCTAAAGATCTTCTTTGTATTTTCAGCTCATTTTAGTTCCTGGGGCAATCACACAGTTCATATATCCAGGCCCAACTGTTTTAAGTTTCAGAGGATTTTCCACTCCCATCACCTTTTTTTGTATAAGATAGTCTCTTCAGTGTAGAATTTTACTAGTGGCTTTTAGAAAACATAAATAGCTTTTACCCTATATTTACTGACTGGTTCGAAGAATTTACTTAGATTATTGAGACTGGATTTTACTTTATTGAAACCAAATTCGCTTCCTTCCCCCTTTCATTTATTTATTTTTTTTGAGAGGCTGGAAGCCATTTTATTTTTTACAGTTTTCTTAATTCAGGTATAATTAACATACAGTGTTGTATTAGTTTCACGCATCCAGTGTCGTGATTCAGCAATTCTGTACATACTCAGTGCCCATCAGGATAAATGTACTCTTTAACCCTTTTACCTATTTTACTCATCTTCCCACCCACCTCTCTTCTGGCAACTACCAGTTTGTTCTCTGTATTTAAGAGTTTGTTTTTTTAATAAATAATAGGTTATGTGTTGTGACCTATGCTTTTTATCAGTTCTCTAAGTTTAGGCAAGAAGATTCTTCAGTGTAGTTCTTTGGCTTCTTCTTATAAATGAATGTTACATTGGCAAGTCATTCGTCCTAAGACCTTTTAAAATTAAATTATATTGAATTCATTTTTTGAGGTTCTGTCTTTGAATTCCTTCTGCTTCTTTGAGTTGATATGATCTTGTCAATTTTATATATAAACACCATATGTAGTTTGTTGGTTTTGTCAAAAAACCTTAAAGTACAAATTCTCCTTGTTAATATTGAAAGAAATGGGAAAAAGAAAAATTTGAGAAGTATGGGATGCATCTCTAAAATATTGTTTTAGGCAAAATACTAATTTCCAAGGCAGATTTGTTCATCTTGGAAGAAGGAGTCAAGATTTGGTAGCTTACTCTGTGTTTTAAAATATTAAACAAAAATAAGTTGTGGATTTCCTTTGTGGGTAACTCTTCTGCCTCACCTTAAATGTGGATGGTCCCCAGGGCTCTCTCCTGGGATCGCTTCTCACTTTTCAGCACTACTTAGGATCTTTTCTGGGGCTGTGGTTTCTGTAGCTCCTGTGCTGATGACTTTGTCCCATTATCTCCAGCAGCAACATGTTCACACATCTGCCAGAACATCTCTGCCTCAGAAAATACTCAGTTTGAATGCTGAATGAAACAGATTGGAAACAAAGCATTTCCTTTAGTGAGATAGTGGAAATTCATTTCTTGGAAATGAAGATTGTGTGTGTGTGTGTGTGTGTGTGTGTGCGCGCACGCACCACAGGTGCACATATATGTGTACACACATACAGAGCAGGGTATTATTTTTTTTTTTAAAGATTTTATTTATTTATTTGACAGAGAGAGACACAGTAAGAGAGGGAACACTAGCAGGGGGCGTGGGAGAGGGAGAAGCAGGCCTCCCGCAGAGCAGGGAGCCCGATGCGGGGGCTTGATCCCAGAACCCTGGGATCATGACCTGAGCCGAAGGCAGACGCTTAACAACTGAGCCACCCAGGCACCCCTAGAGCAGGGTATTATTAACCACAAGGCAGAATCTGAGAAATCAGTCCTTTCCCTTCTAGGATGGATGATTTTGTTAAACAGTGAAAACACTGGATTTCTGGCAAGAGGTAGTATTATATCATCTTGCCTTTTTGTAAAATCACTTTTTATGAAAGGCAGATGAAAGCCTTTTCATGAAAGGTCTTTTTATTTATTGAGGGAATCTCCATGCCTCTGGTCTCGCCCTTCTCTGTTTCTGCTCTGCACTACCAATTGATTACTTTAAAAAAAAAATGTATATCTGATTATGTTGTTCCCTACAGTTTGCAGTTCTCACAACACGCTGAGGTGTCATTTATTTCTGGATCTTTGTACAGTCTGTTTCCTTTGTCTAAAGTGGAAACTTGTACTCATCTCTGTTTCCATTCTAGTGTGCTGCCTTCTTCTTCACAGTCTTCTTTGCTATCTGCTCATCCTCTGGATAGCCTTTAAATGTCAGTGTTTCAGAGACCTGAACCTTAGGAGCCGAGCTTTCTTCCTTCCCTAAACCTCCCCTCACTGCCTCTTCTCTCCTCACTGTCTCCTACCCCTATCCCTATGAAGATACCTGTTCCCTTCACTGTACATACCAAAGTGTCAGTGACT